CATGTACATTCTCTTTTATATTAAGTTTGACACTCTTCCACATGGTGTCCATTGATTTCTACAACATTCTATCACATCATTGGCCAGATTTTGACACATAGGAAGGAATGTCAACAACAATGTCAAAGAGAATGTACATATAACTTAATTCATGGCAATTACAATTGTAGACGCCTTGGTGTTTGGAAGTCAAAAGGGCTCAATGATGAAGTAATGGTTTGAAATTAACAATTTTACTACCTTGATAGAAGATTACGTCTTAGAAGCAGCACTCAATTATTTTTATCAGATAATTAAAGCTATTTGGTTAAGATTATTTCTTCTCAATCAGACACCTTGCAGTGTCTGCGTGACATGGATAATATATTGTGCTATTTAAAAATTCATGGTGTCTTCTTTCCGCCAGTACAAAATTTTCTTTTATGTTCTTTTCTTAAAAAATAAAGCCCATATTTGGGCCCCATTTTTTAAACCTCAATTTTCCTCAAACTCATTTTCAACCACATTTTATGAAACTCACAATTTTCATTAACTTTTCAACCACGCAACTCTAATTTTTAGCCAAACCAAACGGGCAAAAAGCACAGGTCATGCCAAGAATGAAAGACAAGGACTTTCTGCATCATTTATGAGAGAGAGAGAGAGAGAGAGAAGTTTTCCATTCCGGGAATACCTGGATCTCCCAAATAAGGCCGCCTCAAAGGAAGAGTAATGGGATAATAACTATGATCGTAATCCTGCAGAAAGCATCACAAAATACAATAGTCAGTCACATGTTTATTTCGTTTTTCTTTTCTTTTTTTGGTGGGGGTTGTAGATACGTGAACAAATGTCCAACATCAGCTGGCCAAGCAAATTATTTTGTGTTTATAAGAAGACTGGTTATCCTATGTAACAGATAAACCTTCGGAACCAACCAGGGCCAGGGTTGAGGGAATGTATTGAAATATATATTACCCAAGGCTCTTTGTATTCTCCTTTTTTCTTCGAAAGTGAAGTGCTGGTCGAATCTGAAAAATTTTCACGAATATCTGCATCCGATGGCAGCATATTGACAGGGATCTCCGTGCCATCATAAGCTAAATCTCTTAATCCTGTAACATTGCATTGATCATCTTTCCTTTCCCTTTGCTTGCCAAATGACCTTATGGAATTTGATGCAACTCCATGTGAAAATGCAACTTGCACGGAAGCTGTTGTATTCAAAGCAAAGTAATTAATAATCAAGTTTAATAAAGTTTCATGAGCAAGAGAAAATTAAATTATCAAATAAAAATAAAAATAAAAACAATTACTTTACTTTACTTTTTAAAGATCAATCAAACACGCACTTAGCCAAAGTCATGTTTCAAGCTACTTAGATAAATAGTCTGCTTATTGTATCTCGAGTCATGTTTGTAAAGGGTTTGTTACCAACATGACTTGCAATACAAATACAAGACTATAGACACTAAACTATGAACCATCGAAATGAATTCACTATGTAATGGAATTTTAGTGCAAATGGAACTTACACTTCTTCTCGGCTCTGGATCGCCGTCTTGTTAAGTGCTCCTGTGTATACATAAGAACGAAAAACAGTGAAAAAATTGTTAGACACCACAACTCCATGAGAAAAAAGAAATAAAGTACACAGCCAGAGCAAAAATTAACTTCTTTTAATGTATTAAAGAGCATAATTTCCAACCCTGAGGGGTTGCTCAATTGGTCAGGCCTTGGGTTTGCTCCCCAATGGTCACCAATTCGAGTTCCCTCAGGGCACTGAGGTGAGTACCCGGCCGTAAACTTCAGGGCCCCGTGAAATTCGTCGAGGTGCGAGCAAGCTGGCCCGAACATCCACGGCCATCCAAAAAAAAAAAAAAGAGNATTAGTCGAGGTGCGAGCAAGCTGGCCCGAACATCCACGGTCATCCAAAAAAAAAAAAAAGAGCATAATTTCCAATAAAATTTGAAAAGTAAAGATCATTATTAGATAATTCACACCACCAACGTGGTTTTATGACAATATTAGCCCAACTAATAACTAAGAGCATCTCCAATGATGGTATAAATTGATATCTCCAAAATAATTTTTGTTTCTCATTTACATCTGGATAAATCTAAATTCAAATTTTGCTCCAATGAAAATATTTAAATCCATTTTTTGGCTCTCGTGAATTTTTTATATTTTTTGCCAGTATGCAATTTACATTTCCTTTCTCTCTCTCCATTGGAGTATCCTTTACCACTTAGCCGTCCTGCGAGCCTCCCACTGGGGCCTGCTATGTCCCTCTCTTTCCTTTTTTCGAAGATCTAAATCACAATTTAGATCTATTTTACACCACAATTAGAAATGCTCTAATAATGATGACAAAAGTAGCAAGTCAAATAGCTCGAAAACATATAAAAATTATTTTGAAATTATTTATTTTGCCCAACACTCAAACTAACAAAATTTACTTTCTAAAAATTTCGTTTTGCCAAGGAAAAATACTCTTTCTGGGAAAGTTACTATTAAACTACATTACCCTCATTAGTGTCCCCAAATCAACATTTATATATAGAGATAAAGAAACAGATATTACGTTCACCCGGCGAAGGAGAGCTTTATCTTCGCGGTTATCATCTTCGTCACCCTCTTCTTCACTGCAATTATTTACTGTAATTAATTACACCAACTTTGACTCAAAGCATAATTATATTATTAAATTTAGAAAAAAATAATAAAAAAGGTAAAGTTTATTATACGTCCTCAGTTCGATCTGTCTCGTTGGTCTGCGAGGAGGTCCTTTAGGAGCAAATTTAACCTGGAATAATAATAATAAAAAAAAAGTTAGGGCAAAGGCTTGAAGGAAAATTAAAGCGAAAATTTAGGGGAGAAAGTTGAAGATGATGTCCAGACCTTTCTCGGACTTGAAGACGGTGGATCTAGATCCATAGAATGTATGAACGTAAATTGTAGAAGAAGTTTTCTGCAAAGGGTTTTCTGCTGAAGAAGACGAAGATGAAACGAAAAATAAAAGTCAAAAAATGGAGAGGGAGAGGAATCGAACAGCCGACCTCAAACGAAATATTTCTGAAATGATGCCAATTATGCTAACGTGGTTTTATGATGACGGTTCGAGTTTTATATATTTCATAGAGAAAGTTTTGCAAAGACTCCATATACGTGGAAAGTTAAAATTCTCTGTTGCTACTGCACTTTCAGGCTCTGTTTGGTACACATTATTTTTTTCATTCACATTCTTTTACTCATTTTTAACCACACATTCTTCATCAATCTACTATTCAATAATATATTCTTTCAAAAGAATGTGTCCCAAACACACTTTCAATATTATTTCACAATGAAAAATGCTAGATGTACATCAAAAAGTGTACATCAATATCTACATCCTCTCACATGAAGGGGTCCACTCGAATAAAATATTCGAGTGGGCTCCTTACCCATGTGTACACCGTGATGTATACCCCGATGTACCACTAGCATGACTCATAATACTCAATTCTCATTGAACTTTAAAGTTTTTTTTAAATAATTACTGTACTTTTTTTTTTTACCCATCATTCATCTCCTTTCATTTGAAAATTAACGATTTCAATAACGTGACACAAAACAAATTAATTTTTCAGCCGATCCAATATGAGACGACGTTAAACATACAATGATTATTAGAACAACTTCGAACAACAATGTACATTGGGAGAACTTTTAAAACTAAGTGATTTTGGAAAAAACTATTTATTTTTTATTTTTTAACCTCACATTCTCTATCAATTTACTATTCCAAAATATATTCTTATAATAAATTAAGGTTCAAACATGCTCTAAAGTTTAGTGACTATTGAAAAATAACTTTTTTAATAGTGAGGGAGTGAATTGAAATATATAGTGATTATCGAGATTTTTTTAATCTCATTTATCCATCGGGCGTAAAAGAAAGAAACTTGATTTTAAGGAGTAATGGCATTGTATTTGAGAATAATAATGGTCCATTTGGTAGGATTTCTGTTTTTTTGTAGAAAAGTTTTTTACGTAAATTATCTTATGTCAACATCCTCTAAAAACTCTTATCTACAATCTATTAAAAGTGGATACAACTTTTACTCTTACATATTTACATATATGCCCAATATACCCTCATGGTTTACAAAAATTAAAAAATTAAAAATTGAAATGTTACATTAATATGTTATATTTATTATTTACCTTATTTAAAAGTTGTTTTAATTGACAATTACTTATGAATATCAATAAGGTTAGATAACAATGGAATATCAAATGATTCAATTTGTTACCCCAAAATAAGATAATTAATAATAATTATTTCTTTCAAAATTTAAGTGAATTAATTTCCACTAAACACAATTACTACTAATTATTAGTATACAATTATATATAATTCACTACGGAATACCAAATAATTCAATTTATTTCCTCTGAATAAGATAATTAATAATTACTATTGCTTTAAAAAATTAATTCAATTAATTTCTACTAAACACGATCATTACCAGTTATTCGTACACAATTAATAAAAACATTATTACATACAAATAAAAGAAATTATAATACTACTACATAT